AGTTTTTATTAAAAAAATTAAACTTTTTAATAAAAACACAGGCAAATTTGCCTGTGTTACAATTTAAGGGATAGTATTGTTAAAATTAACTTTTTTCTGGCTACCTCGTAACATCTTTTATTAATATTCAATTATTTTTTTGATTAAAAGATATTCTAACTATATAAAAATGCATGCATCGAATTTACTTGAGCTTCTTCCACCAGAGTTAATATCATTTATTCTAAAATATCTTTCAGGCAAAGATTTAAAACATGCTAGCAGTATAAATAATATATGGGAAAGAGAGGTGAATCTTGAACGGTCTAAAAGAATAATTCTTACAGATTTTCGATTTGGGGTTGACATGGGCCCTAATGCAAATTACATTAGTAAAAAAAATGTGAAAATAGTATACGCAAAAGACGATAGTATTCCTACTGTAAACGGGGTTCTAGGTGAGTCTTATTCTGCATTAGGAAAGGTCAATCTATGTATTATCTTAAATGACGGTAAGAAGCATAAAATCATACCCACCAAATTCATAGTTATTGGATCAGATTGGCCTGATCAATTTCCTGAAATACTCTTGGGCTCATCATGGATGCGAGAAAATAGTGTAAGCTTGAATATGTATAATTCAATGCTAACAATAGACAATAATTTTGTGATCCCATATCGATTTAGCTGATAGTCAATCTAGCATTGTTAATCTTACTAATCTTTTTTTCTGCCAGAATCGTAATGACTAATTAATCATTGCTATTTATAATAAAAAATACAGAATTAAATACAACACATAATATAACGTACTATGAAAATAGTCAAAGCTAAAGTAGGATCGCAGAAAATTAATTGTCGCCTCGAACCAGGATTTCTCGGACTATCAATGTGTATTGATAAGCTCCTCAAGAAAATAGGTGGTAAAATTAGCAGAAAATTAACACTCAAAGAAAAAGATAGCAAATTCATCAGAGAAGAAGCCACAGCTCCACTTGGATTGACCGTAATCCCACTTACATTTACATCTAATATAAAAGATAATATCCGTCTTAATAAAAAAAAATCTATCACGATTCCAACCGAAGTACTGGTTGATAGATATAACTCTACATTACCTAATTATATAATGCTTGGTAATAATTGGTTCTATGGACGCAAATATGATGATGATGAGCTCCAGACTTATATACCAGAAATAGTGACCGATGCAGAAGATGCCTGGGTAAGAACAACTTTGCGTATTAAAAACCTAACTGAGAAGAAAGGGGAGAGAGTAATAGTATCTGTTAATAAAAGAGATATTCATGATTTTTACAAAATACTTCCTGGGAAATCGAAAGATTCGGGCACTTCCAATTCGGATACTTCTTCCAATTCAGATACTTCGGACAGCGATTCAAGTAATTCTTCCACATCTAGTTCGGAAATAGAAGTTACACATGCGCATAAGACTAGAGCAGTAAAGAAACGCCCTATTCGAAAGCAAAAGTAAAAGGTAAAGTTAATTATCGAGGTTAACTCGCAGAGTGAGGATGCTAACAGATCTAATCTATATGTATAATAAATTATTGGAGTATAACTACATCGTAACTTCAAAATCATATGACGTTATAAGGCAAAGCCCATTGCAAAGCAATAATGAGCCTCAGTGGAGCGATGTCATGTGTTTTAAATCCACGAATCAGAGATCAGCATAGAAGTATTTCAGAGAAATGGCACTAACCGCACTTATTGCAGAGCAATGACCCTTTGGGTCCACCCTTAAGCAAAATTTTTTATCTGTGATTGTCAGCGAAGATTGAGCGATCCTGGCTCATACTTAATAATTCGTAAATGAACGGATCGCTAAACCCGAAATGAGATTTCATAAAATCTGCAAATTAGGTTTGTTAGTCATAAAGAATAAACTATAAAAATAAGCAAAGTATAAGGATTTCATTATGTAAAACTTATCTAGTTATAATTGAAATATATCTATCACTTCTATTTCTGTACCATCTACTCTCATTAATAACATTAAAAATCTTGCATATAGTATTTTAAAAACTCTAAAGGATAGTATTGTTAAGGATAAAAAAATTCCAAATCTAAGTAATTGTTTAGAATATAGCAATAACATTTTAATATCTCCTCTCAAGGCATTTACATATCTAATATGCGGATATCTTTTTTATAGACTTTGTATTGAAAAAAGCTTTTACTTACTGTTCCAAACACATGTCTATTCCTGGATTGTAGAAAGAATATGGAAATATTAGATCAAGCTAATCCCCTTAGTACCATTTCCAATTTGCTATTAACTGATCCCAAGGAAGCCTCTCAATTAACTGAAATTTCACCTTTGATAGGTGAAACATTCATCCTATCTTCACTACCTATATGGATAGAAGAGATTGAGGGTATGGCAACCCAACAAGTCAAAAGTAATTTGAGGTGTGCCAAATGTTCTAAAGATATTTTTTCATATCTCCCACCTATAGGCTTTCTTCAGTTCTCTCCTTAACCTCAAGCTCACATAAAATGACTTGTATATTTAACCTGCAAGTATAATATCCATTACAATTGTATTGATAATCTACAAAAACTGTGTCCTATATGTCCACCAACTGATATGGAAATTGATGACAGTATTATAGTAACTGATACCCAAGAGTCAAGTACTGTCCGGAAAAATGTTCTAGTGGCTTTACAGAAAAATCCTCTAACAAGAAAGCAAAAAAAGTTGGTGGAAAGAAGGTCTCGAATATACTAAAACAATTTATAGAAAAATTATTAACTGATATTCCCATTGTTGGTAGAAGCTTAAAAGAAGCAAATTATACAACTGATACTGGGGATGTTTTTTTGAAACTTTCTAATAGGATTGATAGTGCCAAATCTAAAAACAAAGATGTATCTTGTAACCTTATCACCAGCTATTTTTATTTTGGGGAAGCATTATATAATCAATATAAAAAGCTAAATCCCACTTATGGTAAAGATAAAGCTAGGGCTTTGGTCAAAAGTGAGGTTAGGAAGAAAATTCCTAAGGTGAAATTCTCTGATAATGCTTTAAAAAAAAGAATAGAAAGAGCCAGAAAAATTTTTAAAATTTTCAATGCTATAGACAAAGAAAAAATAACATAGGTGAAATCTATCCCTTCAGGTTTCATCCTAAATCTTACTATAGATGATACTGATTATGTAATTTCTGAAGTTTTAAAAGGATCAGGAAGTGCGTAAAACTGCACCACATTCTACTGTGCCCTGGTGACATGGTGTCCCGCCTCGGTGATTAGAAAAAAGTGTTTTCTTGCAGTCGTATTTCAAAAATGTATTAATAAAACATTTTATAAAGTTTTTACCCATATCAGGTTGGTAATTATTAATTACTTATTACTCCACGTGCATTAATGATAACCATGCTACATAGATTAATAATACTGCGCCCTGGTGACATGATGTCCCGACTCGGCAAGTAGAAAAAATAAACACTGTGCAAAGTGGGCCATTGAATAAATAAACCTGCCCAAGTGATATGTGTTTGTTAGAATTATTTCGCATCTAAAATTTATCTGTATAACCTTGCATAACTTATTGTGAGACGGGGCACAATCTCAAAGTGCCATTTTTCATTTTTTCTGGAATTAGTATCTAACCAAAGTTGGTCAATTAACTCACGCCATCTATTCTTCATTTTGTGGAGAATTCACTCCGGACCACAAAGTGCTACACATTACAGGTTTATATAATAAAAAATTTTATATAACCACGTATAGATTTTTTTTTTCTGTTAAAAAGTGGCATATCTTTAGAGGTTGAAAACACGGATATAAGGTTTGTGACGAATGCAATCACCATTCATATCTGTATTGCAAAACCTGCAAAAAAGTAGCAGATGGAATATATAGGCGATGTGAATGTGAAGAGAAGAAGCAAGATCATTATTTCATAATAGCTTCGAATCTTTGACTCATCTATTATGTCCTCGAATAATTAAATAAAAATAAATCAGAATTAGCGATTTGGTAGTAATAATATCGATAGTTTAAGCGGAATTTGTCTTCAGGTATAAGCAATAAAGTTTTTATTTTCCGTTTTTCTATATAACGATATACGTCCCGTTAACGTGAGAATAAATTCCGCATGCGAGTGCTTCCGCATGCAGGACTATGCTTACCTAATTTGTATCACCGTTCGGGCACTAACTCATAGCGGTTCAGACTCTTTTCATTAGTATATCTATATTTATCCTAATATAGTAATAGGGAAGCTTTATTTTGGTTTAGT